GTATAGACGTCACCGTTTACCACTTATGTATGTTTAATTTTCTAAAAAAGTTTATGTAAATAATTATAAGTGTACCTATGTAGTAATGAATAGATATCAACTATAAAAATATCAAAGATTGTATATTTAAAATAAAATAATTCAAAATAACATTTTTTTATTAACTCATTCTTATACATGTAATAAATAGCCACTGCACTACGTACCTAGGTATATAAGGCAGCGCAATGGACAATAGCGAGAGCATTCCATATTATCATATTCAATAAGTATGATCTTTTTATGAATATTACTGCCATGCCTGCTATCTTAAAATAATATGTGAATAGAAGATTAAAATGTGGAAAATAGGGTATCCAGATCTCTGATCTGGATGCCCTATTTTCCAACTACTGACTTGTACAAACTACCTGACATACCGTGTACTTATATGTTAATATTAAGTAAACAAGTTTAAACGCTATGGAACTTACATTCTTGAGGATGGGTATTTTTAAAGGTATTTAGAAGTTATGATGTAGCATACCTATATATTACAATCGCTGCAACTTCTGTAAGCCAGGACCTACAGTAGATACAACCATGAAAACGCCGGAACACTGAAGTCCAGTGCGTCCCAGGGACATGAATTTTTAAACTGACTGTGCCCGCAACTTCTTTCGCGTGGACGACTTTGGATAGTTCATTACAGTACAGCTCCTCCCCCGTAGGTGATAGCGTGATAATATGTAGCATATATGTTGACCCAATCGCACTTGCGACCACTCGGCCAACGAGCCATTTATTCAATATCACCTAAAAACTTCAAATGCAGTTAACATGTAATATAGAACCATAAACCGCTTAACAAAGATAAAAATACATCGAAGCCTGCGATAAAATCGATCGCGAACCGCTTGGCCAAAATAGAATCACGAATCGACTTTTTATTTGTTTGGCATTTCAAGTTGTATTTGTTAACCTTTCGTGTTTTGAAGTTATGAAGAAGATAACACTTATCTGTATGATGGCCATTGACGGTGATGCTAATGGTAGGTCATAAGAAGTCTAGAAGCAGTTAATTAATGTTTTATTTACACATCTTTCAGCCAGTAAAGCTAGATATAGGTACTGATTTATGAAACTCTGTCATTGTTAAGTGTGGGAGAGCCATGCTTCGGCATGAATGGGCCGGCTCGACCGGAGTGATACCACGGCCTTACAGAAAACCGTAAAGCAACGCTTGCGTTGTGTTTCGTCGTGTGAGTGAGGTTACCGGAGGCCCAATTCCTCAATCTCCTCAATCCCTGAATCCCCAACGATCCTCAAACTCCTAATCCCCAGAAGGCCGGTAACGCACTTTTAATGCCTCTGGTGTTCCAGGTGTCCATGGGCGACGTAAATTGCTTACCATCAGGTGATCTGTCTCCTAGTTTACCGGCTTATGCCATAAAAAAATGTTTCAACGATAATATAACATCACGAAGATCATCTTTTATCCCGAAGAGCTAGGCAAAGGTGCACCCACTTAATGCTACTACATAATATAACACCCACTTATCAAATGGTTTCATAATTGTTTCATTAATGGTGAACAAATAAAAATTTGACACAAAAATACATTATTTAATCGATTTACAAAGTGTTTAACTTTATATTACTGATTCAATTTATTTTGCAAGCGTATGAGAAGATTTCAAAACGATAACTTATTCTTTGATAGAATTTTAACTTCAATTCAAAAAGAAAAAGTTGAAATTCCATAAAAGGAGAACGTCATAACAGAAAGCTTGATGAGCTGACATCCATTGTTAAATCGAGCTTATCTTCGACCATGAACTTAACCCACAGACAACTTAATGACATAATGACGTTAAAAAATCAAAATGGCGGCCTTGATTTGTGGCGCGTAATTGTAGCAAGAGTTTGACGTTTTCACCGACAAAATTAGTTTACCCTTGAACTTGAATAATGGTGTTTGTTATAATAAGTTCATGGTATCATGTGTTAAAATCTTTTCAATAGGCTTTCTGACAAGTAAAAACATGTAGGTATAGATTCATCATCAACAGCCTATAAATGCCCACTGCTGAGCAAAGCCTCTTCTCACACGGGATGGTTAGAGCATTAATCACCACGCTTGCTCAATGCGGGTTGGCGATTACAAACTTATAATTAGAAATTATAAGCTCAGGTTTCCTCACGATGTTTTCCTTCACCGTTTGTCAGTGGTATCTGAATAATCTTAGAAAGTACATATAACTCGGAAAAAGTCACATTGGTACTTGCCGTTGGTAGGTTTTGAACCCGCACCCTCATGCATGAGAAGCGGGCGTCTTAAACCTCCGGGCCACCACGACATTATACAGGTATAGACAGGTAGACGAAAACCAAACACATTGTCTGTGAAAGAATTATAGGCGTTTAGCTGATCGGATTTCAAAGAAGGACCGATGATAGGAGAATGTGAAAATAAGACATAATGCTTGATATTGGTATGATTCTAAGTAACCAAGAGCTAAGATAGAGATAGAAGAAGAATAAGATACTTGATATCAAAAAGACATAATTATGTCCTTTCAAGATTATCTGGACACCACTGACAAACGGTGAAGGAAAACATTCTGAGGAAACATGGCCATATAATTTCTTCTTATAAGTTTGAAATCATTATAGGCAGACTTGTAGGCACTTATAGGCTGTTGATATGATGTGTGATGTGGACATTTTTCCCTCTATTGTTTCTTTCCTAAGCTTAATATGATAGATAAGTACATCGCTTTCCTTCAACGACATTTTTGTCTTATTATTTTTTTAAGGTTTCTAAGGGATCCAAACTTCTTTGACAATTTGTACACGTTCTTTAACTAAATACATATTAACATAACATCACGCATTTTATCCTCGAAGGGGTAGGCAGATGTGCACATACGGCACTTAATGCCACTATACAATGTAACACCCACTTTTCACTATTTATGTTATGAGGCCCATGTAATAGGGGGTGAGCCTATTTTTTTTATTGGGACAAGCCCGCCACAACCTCCCAAAACCGCTGCAACTCCTGTAAGCCAGGATCTACAGTAGATACAACCATGAAAACACCGGAACACTGAAGTCCGGCGCGTCCCAGGGACATGAGTAACTGTCTTGGTTCCCGCAACGAAATGAATCAGAAGATATTATAAGAGGAGAAGAAAAAAAAGGGGTGAGCCTATTGCCATATACCACAATTCCAGACTTACTGCTACTACTCAGATTTTTTGAAAAAACCCAGTGTAACTTTGCCCGTCCCGGGAATCGAACCCGTGTCCCACTTGCGACCACTCGGCCAACGAGGCAGTCAGTAAATAAAATGTATCCTAACTATGGCACCAACAAAGTACTTTACACGCAAGCCTAGTATTTACCGTAGAAAGTAATAAGGACGAAGTAAAAACTGCTGGAAGGTCGTCCACCAAGTTTACGGTTCATTAACATGGGTCGATAAATCTATAGGACACATTTATTACAACAAAATGTTCTGTTTTTTCTGTACCTGGCTACACATAGAGCTAAACAGAACCAGTATAAACTGACCGACGAATGTACTAAAGATCATAGAAAGAGAGACCATGATGAACTGGTCTTGTATAGCTTCATGCATCAAGCTATACTCAACCGGTATAAACTGACCGTCCAATGTGCTAAAGACCATAGAAAGAGCGATCATGATATACTGGTTATGTATAGTTTGGTGTGCTGCCGTGTATTTGACTCGGTTTGACGCGTACTACGTACATTAATAATGTCACTGTTGACAGTAGTTATAGAACAGAGGTTTATAAGACCTTGGGTTTGTATTTCTTTAGTTCCGTTAGTAAGTTTGTGTAAGTACTAACTATAAGGTTTCTAAGGTACAAGCTGTTTACTTTATTATTATTACTAGCTGTACCCATGACTTCGTCCGCGTGGAATAGTGATTCACAGCTCCTTCCCCGTAGGTGATGGCGTGACAATATGTAGCCTATTATATGTATTGTTGACCCGAATTGTTAGTAATATTCAGGCAAAATTTGAAGTAAATCCATGTAGTACTTTTTGACTTTAACCCGGACATACCTACAGACAAACATTCAAAAAATCTAAAAACCATACATATTTTTAGCTTCGGTATCGCTTGTAGATCATGCCCCAAGCATTATTTTTAAAAAATATTCAATGTACCTACAGTTTTCACTCTCCTACGATTTTATTATATGTAAAGATTATTTTAAAAGGCTTCATGCATGATGCTGGGGGCATTCTCTTCCAGCCAGACCTTTGGGTGATGCAGAGACAAAAACAATGGTTGATGCAAGAAGCAAGCGTATTCGAGACCTATGACCACGATAATATTTAAAGTTATTTGGAAGTCTTCCATACATAAGATAACATATTTTTTTTTTAAATTACCGCAAACATAATTTTTGATAAAAAATAAGTTTTATGGAGGGGTCAAACGAATAGATCGATCACAGCGTGGTAAGCGATCAATGCCGCTCAAGGCAACGAAAGCACTACAATACCAGAGGAGTCAAAAGCTTTGAGAGTCCAGAGTGTGGGAGAGCCATGTTTCGGCACGAATGGGCCGGCTCGACCGGAGTGACACCACGGCCTCACAGAAAACCGACGTGAAACAACGCTTGCGTTTCGTCGTGTGAGTGAGGTTACCAGAGACCCAATTACCATCCCCGTATCCTCAATCCCTGGATCCCCCACAATCCTCAAATTCCTAAAGCTAAAAGGCCGGTAACGCACTTGTAACGCCTCTGGTGTTCCAGGTGTCCATGAGCGACGACAAGTGCTTACCATCAGGTGGTCCCTTTGCTCGTTTACCGACTTATCCCATAAAAAAAAGTATGATGGAATCTTTCTCCAGGTTTTCCAAAAAGTTAGCCTTAATATTTTAAAAGGTTACGGAGAGTACGTCACAGATGAGATAGATAATATATCATCAGATAATGAAACCTGCTAAACATACAATAAGGGCAGTTACTCACAGCAGGATATTTCTCCAACTCATGCAGCACCGTGTGGTCGCAGTACTCGAACACGAGGTGCAGCTTGCGCTTGCGACGGAACACCTCGATCAGGTTCACCAAGTTTGGATGCTTCAAATTCTGCCAACAAAGACAGAAAGTTAATATATACCTAATGGAAAACTGAGAAACACTTTATGACAACTTCGCAGGCATTCACAGAACTATGTTACTATCACTTTTTTTTTTTTAATAAAACGTTGCCCCACATTAGGATTTGCTCCTGTGTCGTAGGTGCGTTTACAAACATACAAGTTCACACCCAGACCAGAAACAACAATTTGTGGATCACACAAAGTGTTGTTCCGTGCGGGAATCGAACCCGCGACACGTTGCACGGCAGCCGGTTGCCCAGCCACCGCACCAACCGTGCAGTCATCAGTCACTACATACATAGTATAAAACAAAGTCACTTTCTCTGTCCCTTTGTATGCTTAAATCTATGAAACTACGCAACGGATTTTGATGCGGTTTTTTTAATAAATAGAGTGATTAAAGAGGAAGGTTTATATGTATAATACATGCATATTGCACCCGTGCGAAGCCGGGGCGGGTCGCTAGTCATAGATATAATAAAGAAGAACGATTCTGTGGTTACTATCATCATAAAGAAAAATTGTAGGTAACTAAAAATTGCGGGGTTATTTACGTGAAAATACTGAGAGAACCTCTATTGGTTTCGAACCACAGATTTCTTCCTCATGAGCAACGTGCGCGTCACAGCGATGTCGCGCAGCATACCCGCGATTATTAGTTAATTTAGTATGTCTCACGATAGTTATTATAAAAACTAAAACTTTTGTTTGTATTATGATTATGACATTACAACTTAAGGATGGCGTATGGGCAGAACTCCTTCTAGGTGGACCGACAGACATGCGGAGAGGCAATGTGTAGATAGTCATGTGAATTTGCTTGTCTCTTTTTTTTATTTAAATTTCATATTAATTTATATTAAATTTCATACACAATGTAAATTGTTAAATGAATAAATAAATGAAATGAAATGATAAAAATGATATCTCATCAAAAAAATCACATTCAACATCACAGATATAATAAAGAAGTTCAACATTAACCGCTTATCAGCCGAGGCCCAAAAGAAAACAAGTGTCTTGCGTATACCGCGGGTTAAAAATCAATAAACATCCTGTTCTACCCTGTTCATATCAGGTTAATTGATTGGGTTAACGTACTATTACACTCGCCCCTTCATATGAAACTTAATACGTTAGTTGGAAAACTTAGTCCATTGACCTTTGCATGTATGTACCCCTTCGCAAACCAAGTGAGCGTGACGGTAATTCCTTGTATTTTTTGTCCTTTAAGCACAGAACTTTAAGTATACTGGGGCTCCCTCTGTTGGTAACAAATTGATGCGGTCATTATTATTATTTTCGTAGGTAAGTAGATATATGATTTATAAATATGCTTTGCCTCGTTGATTTGTTGAATGGGGCAATAAATAATGTTTTCATTTACGTAATTCCTGAGCTGGAAAATCAGATGGATTTCAAAACTTATCATCTTTATCACCTGGACCCATTACACTTCACTCAACTGCTAAATAAAAGGACACCCCACTAACCCAACACGTTGCACAACAAATATTTTTGAGCAGATAAAAACGGCCTAATGAAACGTAATTATGGACGAATTAGAGAAATTCCACAATTGGCATAGAACTGGTAATCGAATTTCATTATCTAACGGCAAAAACATACCTAGGTATTACTTATTAGAAGTATGTAGCGAAAAGTGGAAACGAAATCCATTGTAGAAATGTTTTTTTTATATAGCATAAGCCGGTAAACGGGGAGACGGATCACCTGATGGTAAATAATCGACGTCGCCCATGGACACCTGGAACACCGTGATCACACTAATATTATAAATGTGAAAGTTTCTTTGTTCGAATATTTATTTGTCCTTCAATCACGCTGAAACTACTGACCGGATTTTGATGAAATTTGGCATACAGTCAGGGTATTTTTTTTTTTTTTTTTTAAGGGGGGAAAATCATCGAATGACTGCTCCCGCCTGGGTGAGGCGGAAGGGAGTGTCAGACTCTTACTGACTAAAAACCACCCCGTTCCTTCTCCTGCACGTCGAGCCGGAGCCCCGGTTACCCGTTAGGTTCTCCGCGGGGTTGACTTAGGTGATAGGACTCGATTTTTATCCCGATTAACTACTTCCATATTCTACGCGGACGAAGTCGCAGGCAACAGCTAGTATGCAATATTAGACCTCCCTAATATAATTACTTTAGAACTCAGGAGCAGCAGAGCCATAACGAATCACATATAATGCGTCATAATTATCACAAAGTAATGAAGAACATAAACAAATCAATTCCAAACCAATTTAATTAAAATTCCAAGAACAGAATCATAATAATGAGACTAGCATCTTGAGTTTCTCATACTAGATGAATGCATAAATCGATATTCGAATTCATTATTCACTAATGTCCGTTGTATTTTTACTCACGGCCTCGGCAGAGTTGCAAACGAAAGGTCGCGTCACGTAATCATTGCCAAGGAAAAAGAAGATTTGCTGCAAACCGCATTTGGTTTAAAATTAGTTTTATGTAATCTTTTTAAGTGATAGAGGACAAACAAGTATACGCTTCACGTAAGGGATCAGCATGAAAATAAACACCCGGAGCATCAGAAAGAAACAAGTTGAGTTACACGAGGGGTCTCATGTGAATAGGGCCTTAAAAGAAAACAAGGATTGCAGGCAAAGCCTCTTCTCACACGGAGAAGGTTTGATTATATTAATCACCACGCTTGCTCAATGCTGGTTGGCGATTACAAACTTATAATTGGAAATTATAAGCCCAGGTTTCCTCACGATGTTTTCCTTCACCGTTTGTCAGTGGTGTCTGAATAATCTTAGAAAGTACATATAACTCGGAAAAAGTCACATTGGTACTTGCCGTTGGTAGGTTTCGATCCGCATCCTCATGCATGAGAAGCGGGCGTCTTAAACCTCCGGGCCACCACGAGCTACAATGAAGAGTTCAATATCCTTCAAATACATTTAGCTATAAACAGCCATTACTTTGTGTCGCGAAGAACCTAACCGGTTGCCGTGGCTCCGGCTCGAAGTGCAGGAGAAGGAACGGGGTGGTTTTTAGTCAGTAAGAGTCTGACACTCCCTCCCGCGTCACCCAGGCGGAAGCAGTCATTCGATGGTTTTCCCCCCTTAAAAAAAGCCATTACTTTGTGCATAAGTATACTCTTTCTGAGGGACTATAATAGACTATAGACAGGTACCAAACATTCTACTTGTTTAAAAAGTGTTGGGAGTCAGTATTAAAACATTAAGCGCTGATGACTCAAAAACGGTACCAATGTATCAATATTTTACACATCGATATAAAATACCCATAATTTCTATACTTCAATAATACTTTGTGTAATGTATCTTTTGACGTCACGAACCGTTATCTACATACATATTAATCAATTTTGATAGGAGTCCTAAACTGGACAGCTATCGTTAGAGTTGAGCTTTTTGTAATTATTTCCGTATTACTTTGATTGACAGTAGCATTTAGCATCAGATTAGATAAAATCATTCAGCCAGGCGTATAAGGACGTAAATAGTTAAATACTATCTATAGTAATTTCATTATTTTATCAAATGGAGTAATTTTATCGTATGGGTTGCGTAGCCATTATAGCAAATACTTGAGCGTCGTTGGGACCTACTGGGTTTTGAAGATATGCTGATAAAAAGAAGAAATGGTTTAGTGACAATTTCTTCCATCTTTGAAATTGTTAAGCGTAACTTCTGTTCTAGTGGTCGAGCGTGTCAGATATTGATAGTGTACATGCTCCATGTGTATTTAATAATAAAAAACTTAATCTGCCAGTTTACATGGTGGGGTTGAATGTTCTGGAGAGTACAAACGAGAACCCTTCAAAATTTAAAATTCAGATTTTTCAAACGCACTTCCTTTAGCATGGACCTACCTTCCCTTAATCTGACGAAACTGACTTTATTTAGTCAGACTTTTTTTTAAATTTTTCGTCCTCCCCTTCTAATCAGATTGGATATATGGTGGGTATATTCAACATGACACTAGGTTTTCGCCATCTGTTAATCTGACGCGCTCGAGTATCTACCGAAATCCCTTCATGGGCTTCCCTAAGACTGTTACGACTAGTTCGCAAGTATGACTGCCGAGAAAGAGGTTCAGGATATTAAAAAATCTTTACTTCGTAGGATGAACTAAGATTTTGTCATGTATTATCACAAACACAAAGTTATACCAAGACATCTTCATTAATCCAACTTACTTTTAGCATCCGTATCTCCCTGAGGGCAATCTTCCGGATGAGTGGATCATCTTCGTTCTCAACAAACTTCTTGACGGCGACGATCTCGCCGGTGTCCCGGTTGCGGCACTTGTACACGAGCCCGTACGAGCCCTCGCCCAGTTTGGCGAGCTTCTCGTAGCGCTCCATCGCGCGACTGCTCGCGCGTGACCTGACCAATGTATCGATGTATTTAATTAATTATGTAAGGTAAATTCATATGGAGTTCAGTGCCCAGATAAATGTATGATGGCATGTCATGTTGCGGGTGTCCGTCCGCGCTGTTCGCTTACCATCAGGTGATCCGTCTGCTCGTTTGCCTTCGATACCAAAAAAATGAGGATAAAACTCCTGTCTGCTATCATATTTTAATAAAAATTGTAGGTACCTAAAAGCGATCACCTCGGGCGACACAATAGCTCGATTGATCTCGCCTTTCATTTTGTCAATGCGATTTTAGACCATATTTACAAAAGGACTGCATAATTTGATTCTGCTCTCCGACATCCCCCGTAGAAAGCAGCTCTCTATAGCTATAGGTTATTTTGGATTATTTTAACTAAACATAGCCTAGATCTCAAGAGGTTATCTCATGTGTTCTGAAGTGGTTCTGAAGAAGACAGTTCTTTTGCCTATTTGACGGAACTTTCTCTTTTTTGTTTATCCCAGAAGAGTTTGTTTAATATTTGTATTGGACCTTCTTTATAAAGATTAGAATATGATTTTTCTATGATTCCTTTTTTTATATCATCTGCCGGTAAACCGAGCAGACGGAACAACTGATTGTAAGAAATCGGCGTCGCCTATAGACACCTGGAACAGCGGGCTACCGTATTTTTGGGGATTAGAAATTTGAGGATTGTAAGGGATTCGAGGATTGGGGAAGGGGGTGGGGGGTAAATGAGCCTCCGGTACTCTCATTCACAACAACGCTTGCGATTTTTCACGTCGGTTTTCTGTGAGGTGATATCACTCCGGTTGAGCCCGCCTATTCGTGCCGAAGCATAGCTCTCCGACCATTCTTGATTACTAAAAGATCGGGTCAACATATAGGCTACATACTATCACGCTATCACCTACAGGGGAGGAGCTGTAGGTACTGTAAAGAACTATCCAAAGTCGTCCACGCAAACGAAGTCGCGGGCACAACCTGTGTAACAATACAATAGTTTAACAATAAAACAAGTCGATGCTCGCTATAGTATTGTTTAGACATTGAATAGTTATTACTGTTATTAGTTATTACCCAATGACGTCAACATTTTTCACTCCCATTACAATTATTTCATAAGGTTGTTAAACTGTTGGTACAGCTACTCGTCAAGCTAAACATAACCAGTATAAATTGATCTTCGAATGCGTAGAAAGATCATATAAAGACAGATCATAATATATTGGACTTGTATAGTTTGATGTGGCCGTATGTACCTAGGTAGTTAAAGCATGAAATAGCTCGTTGAATAAGTATAATTATTGGTATTGTTTGTCTGTTTATTATATCGGAACGTAGATGGAATGAACTGATATTTTTAATCTACTTTCATTATTGGTTTTACATGTAATTGTCACGTTGATACTTGTTAAGTTAATTGCTAATTTTCCGACTATAGTTTCACCCGGTCAGTCAGACATTTAAAAAAGTAATTGGTGGTGGGTTTAGAAGTGTTGCATCGAGTTCATTATGATCCTGTAGGAACATCGGGTTTGAAATTAATAGTTTAAGATTTGTGTTACACCTTAAACGGTGAATCCTTACTATTATAAATGGGAAAGTGAGTTTGTTTGTTTGTTTGTTTGTTCCGCTTTCACGCCGTAACTTCTGAACCGATTGCATTGAATTTTTGCAGACGTAAAATTAGAAGTACGGATTAAATAATAGGGTACTTTTTATACCGGAAAATTTTGGTATTCCCGAGGGAAAACAAAAGAATTGGTATAGATGGCGCTGTGTGTATTGGTATAGGCCACTTTTATCCTTTTGTGACGCGAGCGAAGCCGCGGGTAAAAGCTAGTTGTTTAATAAAAGAGTGTTAAATTATCATATCAATATTAAAGACTGTCGAAAGATTGCCATGTTTAAAAGTAGGTTGAGAAAATATGTATATAAATAACCATAAAACCTAAAAAAAGTTATTTTTTTAATGTAGGTGTCCCGTATTTCCAAAGGCTAAGTATTCTAATAATCGTATTATAATGAACACTCAAAGATATATTTTTTATATTTCTGTGTGCACACTACACATCTCACGATACAGTCGAATTATAAAGTTAAATCGTAGGTTCGTACACCTTCAGTTAAGATGTACAGTTCAACTTAACAAGTTTCAACTACAGTTCAACAATAGGTTGTGGTTACCGATGTTCTCGCGGTGTTTGACAGTTTAATAATAATAATCATCATTGGTAAGTTATTTTTAAAGGTGAAATTAATACATTATTCCTTAACACCAACCTTTATGCAATAATTATGAAAACTCTCTACAAAACCATATTACTTTATAAATATTATACTTTTTACTAGTCGTCAGTGCTGCGTCAATGATAGCAAGAGTTAGCAGTAAACTGGTTTATTAAATAAATGTAGGTAACTACACTCGCCACCTTACAAATATTCCCGACATCATATTGACCGACGGTACAGTCAGTATTCCAACTATTCAACTAAATACTAAAGTATGTTCTTTTACCCTAGTACCCTATTTACGTTATAAAGGTTAGTGTAGTTTAAATATTTAAAAAAATAACTTATGGTTGTAGTTATTCTAATCAGTATCTGGTTGACCGATCTCTGCTCGATGTTTTATTTTAGTGCATATATTTTTTTATAAAAAAGAAAACACTATCTTCATGACGAAATTTAGCATCGTATTTTAATAAGGATTATTATTCAAAGAAAACACGGACAAAACGGATTTTCTGAAAAACCTATCCCGATCGATTTATCGTCCGCGAAGCTCCCTAAATACAAAATTTCAAGAAAATCGATGGAGCCGTTTCCGATACCGTTTATAACAAGAATTGTTCGTTTAAACTGTCAAACACCAAGCGGTCACCGGTGACCGCGACCTATTGTTCTTTAATTGTGTCTATAAAACCGGTACTCGTCGAGTTAAAGGTATTCAGATTTCTCTATTTATTATCAAGCAAAGAAGGACACGATAGGCCAAATTAACATCCGTTTTATTCATAAACTATGATGTCTTATTGTCAAGTTAGGGGTGGCTTCAAGTTCAAGTTCGTGCTAATTTCACTTAAACTTGAGTAAACATAAAGTTTGTCACCCCTGTCTCTAATTCGAGGCGTATTTTGGGGAGAATTGATAAGTATTGTGTCATAAAATGAGTAGGTACACTTCTTACACACCTTTTAAGCGATATAAAAGGGGTAATCGATGATCTGTCTGGTGATAAGCGATGATGCGGTCTACGATGTAGCACGTCGTCCTATAAGTAACCTATTCACTCGAGTCTTGAAGACACCCAGGTTATACACTTCAAGAAATACAGACTCTGGCAAAGAATTCCACTCCTTAGCAGTACGCACTCATAGTCCAGATAAGATTTAGTTAAAGACCTCATTTTTGAAAATATTTACAGTAGGTATTACATCTCTTCAATATTCGCAAATATACAATCTTTATATAAACGTTCAATACATAAAAAACACCTAAATAATGTTTGGCCATTTCCGATCTAAATGAGAATAACCCTTTCATCATTGAGGTCATTAGGGCAGAGGGTCAAAAAGGACGGGTCTTCAACGATACGTATGTTCCATGTATTGCAGCGTTGCTTTTTTAATAGACTTAAATATATCTTTTATCGTTTGTGTAGTACATTCAATAACTATTCTGTAAAAGTGTATAGATTAGGTAAGTAGTATAGATTTTTAATAAGGTATATCATGGACGTTGTTGCTGTTTCGCAAAAAAGCGTAACAAAAAGGTTTGATTAACGATCAGATAACGTTTTTTAACTTCCTCATTTCACAGATAATTTTCGCGTTAAAAGTACCTGTAATATCTAAGTCTGACGACCTAAATTAACTATCATCTTCAATCTAAACGTATAGCACGTCTGTATAAAGGTTTTTCACAAAAATTCAATAGAAATATGTAATGTCAAAAATCGACCTGGTGTTAATTACACTATACTTATTATGATTTGAGATAGATTAATATTTTGTGGCGACGCATGCCACATGTCTACGGATGACGTCACAAGAATCCTACATCGCACATGCAAAGTTTACAAGCGAATAAACACGGATAGAAAATCCCAACGAACAACTGTTGGGCAGAAAGCCCGCCAGGCACGATCGCCTCGCCTGGTCGGAGGATCCTCCTTTTCCGATCTTAGGGAACTATACTCTCTGTTCCCTAAAGTGGTGACCCCGACGTGATTGGAAACAACCTTCACTTCACGGAGCAGATTAGCACCGTCATCCGTATCGCCATCCCTCTCATTCATCACTTCTCCGCTGAGCGGTAATCAACTCGCAGCCAACCAGCATCCTCGGCCTCATCAGGGACCACCATCACCTGCAACGAAGTTGTGCAGCCTGGTTCTTCCCTACGGCCTCACCAGCGTCTAGGCACAGCACTTCTGCACACGGTTCTGAAGGACATCTCCTCCCGTCAACGCAGATGCCGGCCACTACGCACCTACCCTCGCAGCATCTCTTCCCCGACTCACCGTGGGACACTGCGAACTCATCTCTCCGACTCACTGGAAGTTTCACCCTGCACCGCTGACCCGACTCACTGGGCACTCAGCGGCACGGTTCCGACCCACTGGAACTAGGGACGTTCTACACTGGCTCTGGCACCGCTCATCTCCAAGCATCGACAGCCGTCTCAGCGGGATCGACCTCCGGTCTTGGGAGGGAGTGATGTGGCGACGCATGCCACATGTCTACGGATGACGTCACAAGAATCCTACATCGCACATGCAAAGTTTACAAGCGAATAAACACGGATAGAAAATCCCAACGAACAACTGTTGGGCAGAAAGCCCGCCAGGCACGATCGCCTCGCCTGGTCGGAGGATCCTCCTTTTCCGATCTTAGGGAACTATACTCTCTGTTCCCTAAAATTTAACTCACAACGGAAAATAAATATTTTTGATTGACTCACGAATACAAATTTCTCAGAGGGTTTTTTATATGTAAGAACGATTATATTATCACATCGAATTTCCTGTAATATTTAGGTACTACGCCTAATCGTACAGTTAAATATGTATAATTTACCTTCTCGGTAGCAGCGGCAGGTTGTTGCCAAATAACCACAGCCGTTTATCACCGAACCATTTCTCCATACAGGATGCCACGTTGTTCCACAGTTTGATACGTGAACAGTCCCACACAAAATTATCCTTCATTCGCGTATCCGAATGTGAAACTCGCGAGCATATCCCGCCAAATTTTATGTCAAAATTCGCGCCGGTATCGCAAATGACAGATATTATTTTTTTTTAATTTAATTTGAGCACGAGTATTCGTTACGACAGCCGCTGAGCTTTTAGTTGTGGTTGTAGAAATTATCGATCCATGTTTTGTTTACAGTTTGTGTCGGCCTGTGTACATGACAACCGCGGTGGTAGGGCGCAATGTAGGCTAGAGGATACGGTCATTTTTTATTTCTTTCTTTTGACTGGGTTTTTCAATGGTTTTAAAACCACTGGAACAATTGGAGATCTAGATTTTGCCGAGAAATTATCGGTGCATTGTAGACTGGTAAATACTACTATATTATGGTTTCCTAAAGGAGGGTGTCGCTGACTGAGAAGTGTAACATCTTACGTCACTTACTCATGTTATTTACTCTCAAGCTATAAGTAAACAGAAAGAGCCACTATAAGACTGCACTTATTGATTCTTTTTTTTATAGAATACATAAAAAATATAATCTAGGTGTTTAATGTATTTCTTACATTTTAAAATAATTCCATCGTTATGGCAATATGCAAAGTTAAGTGGCTTATGTTCCATCATCATTGTTATCATCATGTCAGCTACAAGAGGTTCACTGCCGAATAAAGACGTCCAGACAGTTCCAGATAAGCCGGTTGAACGCAACCTGCACCCAGCGGCCCAGCGTTTGTCCACCTTGCCTGCTTAGGTATTTTTCACTAAAATAATTAAACATTCAATATTGAACAATATTAAAGAAATAAATCATGTAGAATCACCGTTATAGGCTTAACTGTCGCCAGCCTGTACTTTCATAAACATTTGATTGCTGATGGCCGCGTCACGGCGGGTAATCGATGTTAAATACATGACATGCGGGGAGCCCACATAAGGGCATACATAATGAACAACATTAGTCATTGCCTACATAGTTACACTTATGAATAGAATAGGGTAGATGCGTAATTTTTATTTTAATGTCCGTCTGGTAGATTATTTTAAATCATTAGACACGTATTTTTTATTTTTTTATAGAAACGAATATTTTCGACGACATGTTAATTTGAAATGTCGTGTGACGTCACTTCTATGTACATTTTATACGTAGAAATGACGATTTAGCCCCCACTCCTAAACTTTGATTCGTTTTATCTAAGAATTGTTTTGTTTTAGGACAAAATAAAAAAATACGTATCTAATATTATCAATTACTAATTATTTTTAATTACTTACGGACTAATTAGATTTTTAATTTTCATACCCTGGCATCATCCCAATTGTCATAGATACAATAAAACTACCTACATTTAATGGATTAATTTGATATTTTTAATTATTTATTTCGTAAAGAGGTAGTCAAAGATGCACATTTGTTATTTATACTGTCCATACTTTGCATAAATTACCAACAAGATCCACCACTGCTGACCAAAGGCCTTTTCTCGCACGGAGGAGATTTGAGCATTAATCGCCACTCTTGCTCAATACGGGTTAGCTGGTCATCGGACCTTCGACCAACGAAGTCCATGTCACATCACATCAACATCCTATAAGTCACCAATGCTGACCAAAGGACTCTTCTCGCACGGAGGAGGTTTGAGCATTAATCACCACATGCTTACTTGCTCAATGCGGGTTTGCGATTTCAAACTTATAATGCGACATTATAAGCCCAGGTTTCCTTACGATGTTTGCCTTTATGTATTCTTGCAAATAAATGAATTTGAATTTATTGTTTCGTCAATAGTTTCTATATAATCTTAGGAAGGTACCTACATTATATTGTCGTAGTGACTAAATTAATTTTCTTCTTATGTATATCTACCGTTTTTTGTTGAGGGCTTTGACTGTGGGCCTCCATTTCAAGAGGCTATAACCATCACGCTTGACAGGCAGATGGTCAGTCCGCTCGTTTCCTTGCCTCCTTTATATAAAAAAAGGTTGGACATTGATGACATAACAATATTTCTACTACATTACCGTAACATATATGAAATTGCCCAGACTGATTTACTAGTTTACTACAACACAAATCTCATTTGTAAACCCAATAAAAATTTTATTTTTAAGTTGAAGTGTACGTAAACCCTTGCCCAATTACAATTCCCCTCGGTAATATGTAGTGATTTGAATATTTTTACGTTATTTAGAACAATTGGACACGCGAAGTTTTTCATTGGAAAATTTTCTTTGGAACGAAACTCAATCGGGGTTCATCGATGTTTTTCCATTTATTGTCATACAATTTTACGATTTCCAGTGTAAGAATTAATGTTTACAATTAAATTTAACGACTGTTATTGGACATTTTAAAACGATTCCGTTCCATTATATACGTATTTACGAGCACATTCACCAATTTTTCGGTTTTGTAATGGGTTAATATTTTAGATACGAATGCAAGTTTTGTTTATTTCATCATTTTGTCGGAAAGGGGAACGCGGCAGTATTTTTTTTGTACCCCAGGTACTAAACAATAACTAGTACTTATAACTCACCCTTTATCGAGATAATAACGTTACGTAACCATGATGACGAAAAATTGTAATGCAATGAAAATGTAACACTAATCAATAAACAAATGACTACTTTCGAACAAATTATCCAAATTTTGTAAATAATATAATTTGAAATTAGAATTCTTAGCTAAACAAAAATTATTTTCATTTGAAATGGCCAGAGTTAAATCTTAGGTAAAGACTATATCTTAGAGGAGCTGTATAGGCAGTATAGGTTAGGTAGGTATTTTATAAGTAGTCTAGCCTACGTTCACCACCTACAATATCTAGATTCAGAGGCGTTACTGTTAAATTCTATAGTTCTTTACCCGGTCCGACAATAAAACCAGATATGACATATACATTGGGCCTACCGGTGTCACCATAAGATTAGGTAAACATTAGCTACGTACGTACGTAGTGTCGTGGTGGCCCGAAGGTTTACACCTTACGCCCGCTTCTCATGCATGAGGGTACGGGTTCGAAACCTACCAACGGCAAGTACCAATGTGACTTTAGCCGAGTTATATGTACTTTCTAACATCTAGACACTACTGACGAACGGTGAAGGAAAACATCGTGAGGAAACCTGGGCTTATAATTTCTAAATATAAGTTTGTAATCCCGCATTGAGAAAGTGTGGGGATTAATGCTCAAACCTTCTCCGTGTGAGAAGAGGCTTTGCTCAGCAGTGGGCACTTATAGACTGTTGTTGATGATGATAATGATAGCTACGTTATACAAAATCACACTATCATCAAGCCTAAAGGTCTAAACATAATTTATTACCCTTCCCCCCACTTACGACGGTATTCACACTGTACGTACACTTGAACGAATCAGAGGGTGGTCGGGTAAATCGAGTGATTTACATAATACGGTGTTGTTGTAGCTTCCTACATCGGTATTTACATTTGCAATTTGTATTTAGGATACCCTACATTTATTAAAATGGTGAGAGATATGTAAGTAGGTACCTATATTAGGCAATCTAATAAATGCAATGTTTTTGGGTAGATAACTATATCACCATTCATGTACAGAAGTGAATTTCCTTTTACGAAACCTTTGTCTTACAGTCAGCAAGAAGATAAATGTAATATTTAAGTCATTAATATGAGTACCTATATGTTAATAAATCAGAGAACTATCTAATATTATGGTAAGAAAAAAATATCTGTGATCCTAGTTGTAAGAAATTTGGAAGTAGTTCCTATTTCGATTTATTATATTTATTTAAAATTCCTAAAGCTACATTTAAAAAAAAAAATATTTAAAAAATATAAAAATAGGAGCCGACCAGTAGTGGGAGCATGGTCCAAGCAACCGGTGGTTAGGGCTCCAGAGACAGAAACCTCCTCACAATGCGCGCCGTTTCAAAGAGTACTGCCTTCTGAATCAAGCCCTTGACCCAACTGCCTAACGCTAGCCTCCTAAGGTGGTTGTCGAGGCTATTATTGGTTTCTATTATAATTAGTTCCTATTATTATTATAGATTGCTCATAGGTAGACGTGCTCCATCGTCAGCCACATCATCGCTTACCACCAGGCGAGGTGTTGGCCTAACGTCGACTCATTAATCCTTCACACTCCACATTTATGTTTAGCTAATAAAGTTTGTTACAAAACTTTTACACTGCAAAAGATTTTATAGTGTATCATCTATGTGTTTAGCTACTGCTTCGGTGTTACCCTCTCCCCCGGTTCCTTTTGTAAAAATAGTCACAATATTGTGATGCTGAAATAATCTACATAATTATCTCTTATGATTTTACCATTGAACTGGATATGCACTAATATTATATTTTTATTCTGTTATGCTGCACGCGTCGTACAACTACAACGGCGGGTTTAATTAAAAGAACATAAAAATGCTAAATATCTAACGATACAAAACTGGAACGCTTCATTAGAAACGTCAATGAAATGTCAAGAGCCAGCTGTTCTCTCTTTCTCACTCTAACGTACGGACATATTGCTTATATGTGTCGTCTATCTCTTTCACACTGCTCATTATCATTCAATTCATTCGTTCAATTTTTGCTGTCGTTGTCGAAGTTTTCTTCGCACTTCGTCTTGAATCGCATCATTCCTGTCAAAAACTCGCGCAAGGGAACACGTAATTTGCTTGATTTTTCGATCAATGATCATTGTTATTGTTTGTGAACGGTACAATGTATAAAACGTAGAGTTAACGCGGCTGCTCGCACCGCTGATATTGTGTTCCTACGAAAATATTATTGTGCAATACACCCGGTGTACATTTTGCAGTCGTTAGGTGAAACAGTTCGATCCTGTATTGGATTTTGCAAATTGTATCTTGTAGCAAGGTCGTGACTTTTGAGACAAATATCTAGATTGTTTAGTGAACTGATGTGTGCTCCCGTCGGTTACAAAACTTTAGTGGATTATTTAGTGTTGTGATAGTGAAAAGAAAACTCAAAAAATGGGTACCACAGGACTGACACTGGCAGATTTGCCAAATATTTTTATTATGATCGGCGCTCTCGTGGCGCTTTTCGTAATGTTAGTCATTCTACTCAGGTAAGTTCACCTGTACAGATAAGGAATTCTAATACAAATAAGTGGTTGCACATTGTTATTGTATAGAATGTGCTAGACGGTTTCCTTTCGGAAAAGCCATAAAAATAATCATGAATAATGCGTTGCAAATTCGCACGATGTTACCTTCCACGCGTGTATGATTCGAACCTATTTGTTTCCCATAAATCAATTAGCCTGAATGTAGTAATGCCTTTGCTATTTTTGGGATTGTCTTTGGTACATTAGTCTGCAAATAGGTTGATGATGTCTACATTACTATTTATTTTTTTTACAAGTTTTTTGCTATGAGAATGTCAAGTGCCTACTGTGTTCACTTTCTCTTTATCTTGTTTGCTTATTATATTGGAATTTGAAAGTGAAAATAGAATTACATGTGTACTTAAAGCATATTATTTTAATACCAGTTATTTACCTATTAGTTTCAAATAAAATGTCTAATAAAAAAACTGATAACTCAAGAATGTGGAAACCTTTCTGTTGCATGGTTATTATGATAATAACAAGATTGATTAAAATAATAAAAAATATACATTTGTTAGTTAGTTAGCTATGCAGGTTAATGGCATTTATATTTTATTTTTAGTAGTTTAAAGAATTATATTATCTTTTGGTACCTTACTGCCTATTTCTTAGGGTCACTGCACTCAATTTAATAAAAAAAACAAGTAACTAGTCTTTAGTTGCTAGTGTTACTTACACTCTTGTTGTACTTACTGCTTTTAAAAATGGAGCCAATTTTTTCTGTTTTTGAAATAAAAGGGAAGTAAGATAAATAAGTGTGTCTGTGTGTGTGTCATGTTTCAGCTCATACTGAAGAATATTTTAAATATTTATCATACTTCATTCATACCTTGCATCTTTTAGAGTATTTCATAACTCATTTATGTAAGCAAATGTTATAAATATTATATCTATGAATTGAATAAAGTTTAACTCGTCGAGTACCGGTTTTATAGACACAATTAAAGAACAATAGGTCATGGTCACCGGTGACCGCTTGGTATTTGACAGTTTAATAATTATAGCAATGCCCTCTGGATGTCATAATATTATAATAAGTAGTTATGATACAAATTCCTCTTGAAATAGCATTAATATTTTCATCATAGCTTTTCTTAATCGAAAATGCAATATTTAAGGAGGTGCCTATTGTATGTTTTTTATGTAATACTAGCTGAACCGGCAAACATTGTTTTGCCATATAAATAATTTCGTAGAAGGGTGAAAATTGAGGATTGTATGTATTTTTCTATGTTATATCATAAAAAATAGAAATTAAAAATTTTATCTAAAAAATAAAAAAAAACAATTAGGGGTGGACTACCCCTAACATTTAGGGGGATGAAAAATAGATGTTGGCCGATTCTTATAGATACCGGATAAGCACAAAAAATTTCATCAAAAACTAATCAAGGAGGAGTATGGCAACGAAAACTGTGACACGAGAATTTTATAATTATATTATAATGAAAAAGTTTTAAGTAGATCCTTAATGTCTATTGCACATTTGTATACTTTACTAATCCCCAGTTTCAACACTATTTCCAGACACAATAAAAAACGTAATGAGAAAATCCTCCTTTTGGCAAAAAAACAAATACAAACACCTTTCATTTTATAATATTAAGAAGAATAATGTAATTTTCCTTTATTTATCATAATTTCTAGGTATTCTATGCTTCATAAACCATTTAGTAGTAAAAAAATGCCTAAGCAATGTTATCAGACTTCACATTATATTTTCATAACAATGATGTCCAGTTATTACAATTTAAATTGTATATTTAAGGATGGTTTAATAAGGAAAATGATGACAGTGTTTCAATAACAAAATGTATTGTTGATGTACCAACTACAACACATAATGTTATGACTCAATTTAAGGGATGTTTATATTATAACTTTCTTGAGACATACTAAATTAATTATTATGTTTTCAGCTTACTCATGTAACTGTTTGATGTGGAACTTAACTTGTTTCAAGCCATACTAGATGCTCATATTTATGAGCATCATTCCAATATGAGCCTCTTTGTTTGACGAGGAACTACTAGTTTATTCAACTAGTATAATATTTCATGATCAACATGTTAGAAGAAACGGGGTGGTTTTTAGTCAGTAAGAGTCTGACACTCCCTTCCGCCTCACCCAGGCGGGAGCAGTCATTCGATGATTTTCTCCCCTTAAAAAAAAAAAAGTCTAGGATATTTCTGAACATAGGCCTCCCCCAACGAGTTGTAATGATTACATTATGTTTACTCAGGCCTTAGCATAATTGCTCTTTACTTTAGCTGTACTTAATCATAATATTTTGTTTATGAAGAAAGGACTGTTGAGTGTGTGTGAAATAGGTATGTAAGAATCGTAGCAATTAGCATTCCGTAGTATTCTCCTACCCCCAGGCGTGAGGTTATGTATGAAGAAGGAAGAGAATCTCAAATTTTTATTAACGAAAACCCACCTTGTCTATACTCAGACCACAGGATATTACAAGTGTTGTATGCACTCATAGGTTAATTCCTATTTAAATATTGAATACAAAATAGACCAACTACCTACAACTATGTTAAGCAGCCACTTTGAAATAACAATGCATAATAAATATTAGAAACATATTGTTACATTAACAATACACACAAAATACTTATTACATATAAATAATACTTCATAATAATACAATTTCATATCAGGTCGGTATGTACCTAGTTTGAACTTGGTATGTCTTTAAAACTGATTAGATAAAATGCCTAGGTAGATAGTTGGCAAGTAATCTGCGAAATTAAGTACTTAAGAATTGTTGTCCATTTCAAATATTTTTTTCTAAGCTCCAAAATGCTAGGCGCCTTTTGAAGGTCTACCCCGACAAAAAAGGATTTGTTGTGGGGGAAGAATAATCATCCAATGACTTCTTTCGCCTTGACGAGGCGGGAGGGAGTGTCAGACTCTTCCTGAATCAGAACCATCCCGTTCCTACTTCTGTATTGAGCCGGAGAGCTATAGTTAATCGAGAAACTTACAGTACTTGCGCAGTTTTTTTTTATATGGAATAAGAGGCAAACGAGCAGTCGGGTCACCTGATGGAAAGCGAGGAAACCTAAGGAAACCCGCAACACCAGAGTCACAGGTGCATTACCGGCCTTTTAAAAAGGGGATCAACAAGACAGTCACAAACTTTTAACAAACGAGCGAAATAATCATCATCATCATCATCAACAGCCTATAAATGCCCACTGCTGAGCAAAGCCTCTTCTCACACGGAGAAGGTTTGAGCATTAATCACCACGCTTGCTCAATGCGTGTTGGTGAATTCAAACTTATAATTTATATTTATAATTAGGAATTATAAGTCCAGGTTTCCTTACGATGTTTTCCTTTACCGTTTATCAGTTGTGTCTAAATAATCTTAGAAAGTACATATGACTCGGAAAAAGTCACATTGGTACTTGCCGTTGGTAGGTTTCGAACTAGCCCCTCATGTATGAGAAGTGCGTAATAAACCTGCGGGCCACCACGACGTGACGACGACGCGAAATAATAAAGAACTTAAAACCTAGCTAATTATTTATCTTTATCCATTCTTAAATAGTATGTTCTACAAACGAAAACAACAGCGTTTCCCATGACCATTGATGTTTACTCTATGATAAGGCTGTGATAAAAAATTATGACTGATAACACAACACTGCCCAACAAAAGTATTATTGTGGTTATAGATATTTTGTCAGCCTTTATCATAGTGGTGACATTGTTCTAGAAATCGTAATAGGAGTCATATTCATGTATTTAGTAGATAATAACTACACAGTTTTGTAACATTGTAATACATTGTAGTTTTACTGCATATGACCTGACCTGACTTGCTAATTGACTTCTGCTCATTTCTTAAAAGTCTAATGCATGCTACTTTTATCTACTTGGTTTACGGAACTGCGGATTACCTAAAGAGTTACGGGGGCTCCGGTTCAAAGCAGGAGTCTGTATTTCCTGATGGGTATAACCTGGGAGTCTTCAAAGCCCGAGTGAATAGGTTGCTTATGGGACGACGTGCTCCATCGTAGACCGCATCATCGCTTACCACCAGGCGAGATAGTGGTCAAACGTCGCCCCATCAAATATATATAAAAAAAAGAGTAGGAACAGGGTGGTTTTTAGCAAGTAAGAGTCTGACACTCTCTCGCCTCCCCTAAGGCGAGAGAAGTCATTGAATGATTTTTCTCCTCAAAAAATGCTATGGTTTGGTATTAATATATCCGCTAAAAGAGGTTACATTGTAGTTGTACATGTGTAGTGCACCTCTGTAAAATGTTTGTTTTACTAACTTGTTTTTTCCTGCTTTCGGAGCTTCAAGGCTCATTATTGTAAAAACGCTGTAAAACACGCCTCTTATCTCATAGAAATCAAAAACAATTTATTACACATAAAACTGAAAACAGTATTTACTTTTATTACCACCACTTGAATAATATTGCGTTTTTCCATTGATTCAAACTTAGCGTTGCATTATTCCAACCAAGAAGTACCTAACTCCATGTAAATATACCAGGAGCAAATTTTACCTATTTTGTATCTGCGAATACCTCTTTACGCATAGAGAAAAAGAAAACGTTTAGGTCACCCCTCTTTACTGTCTATGGCACTTGGGGGCGTTACGTACGCTTTGTTTTTTTGAGAGAAGAATCATCAAATGAGTCCACCCGTGAGAGACAGTGTCACTAGTTAGCGTCAGACTTAATAACTAACTGACAGAAAACCACCCCATTCCAACGAGTTCCAGCAATTTGCTTCGAGCTGAAGAACAGCAAGAAGCCCAAGTATCTTCTTGCGCTTTTCCGCAGGCCCGGTCGAGCGTTAGCCTTCCGAAATATAAACGTTTTTAAAAGGCACGTGCAAAAAGCAATTATTGGTAATCACGTGATAGAAATAACGGAACGGCTTCTAGACTACTTATGTCATCGTTTTAATAATTTAATAGTCTACAA